CGTATGGTGCAGCAAGCTACCTTGGAAATCCAAGTCGGTAGGGGTTCAGGGTTTAGGGATTCATGTTTAGGGTTTATAGTCCCCCTTAAGTAGATAGAATATGGGGTATATGGGGATCTTATTATAATGCACCCACAACTACATTCTATCTACTCAAGGGGGAGTATACCTTCTAATTACTCGTGTAGATGTAGGAGCGCGCGCCTAACTTGTCTGCACCTGGTCTCAACCCGAATCTCCAGAAGGAACGCCTGATGTATCCTATATGAGGGGACGAGGGTTCTGCAGCATGCTGAAGGTAGAGTATAGTAAGATTGTGTGAGGACGCCAGGGGTGCACTTCTTGTGGCTGTTTGACTTCCATGGTATATACTCCATCAGCCCCGGCCCTGGACCTCACACCTCAACTCCGAAACCCTAAACTCCCGAACCCTACGGACCTCCCCCACACATGAAGCTTGTTCAAGCTTCAGCGTAAGGGAGCTTCCGTGTCGAGAGCTCAAAGAGGATGACCCCAAAGGAGTAAACATCAACCTTCTCGGTCACACCTGGGTCAAAGGCTTACCGCTTAGGGTTTCCGTAGGGTAAGTTAAGATGCCTCACAAAGGGCTAAGATGGCCGTGCGGATCAGGATTTTGCGCAGACAGCTAAGCTTTAAGGGGGTTGCTGCAACTGTCTGTGCATGAGGCCTAATTTTCAGGAGGGAAAGAAACTCCACGGATTAATATCTTCCGCGTCGCCGTGAAACCTTAACCGTTCAGGTTCGGAGGTTGAGGTGTTCATCGCCTTAAAGATTCCGTGATGAAAGAAATTGCAATTCCGCGCTATACGGGCCATCCCAAGAAGCCATGGCATCAACTCCAGACATTACACACATTCCAAACAGAAGCCCTGTATCCCACACTCCGTAGGTGTCAGCCCTGTCTTCAGATCAAACCATTGCCTAGGGCAAACGAAGAAGATTTCGGGCTTCTTTCCTGCATGCTCGCGCCTCCGCCCTTGTCATCGAAAATTTCCGGCGGCGCCCAGATGGGGGAGACTCCACGGAGCGTTGTCTGCAATGCTGTCCTTAGCTGTTTTTGGATGGGGTGTTTCCAAGGATTCCGCGCCCTGCCCATTAAAAGCCCGGTTCGATACGCCCTATGCAAAGGAATGGCTGTTGGATGGGGACGCACTACGGAAATGAGGTAGGGAGCTGTTCTTTGCTTTCGTACAGGGTGAAGGAATGAACGAGGGAGGTGATTGCCATTATGACTCCTTAGAATCCAGAAAGTTAATCCTTCCCTCATTCCCTTGAGCATCAGCAGGTGAACTCAGCATCCAGGATCTGGGATCTAGGGTCGCGGCAGGGCAAGTCTTCGCACTGGCAAAGTAATCCCCTTCGTCTAAAATATAATACCCCATTCTTGGGCGGCCCCGCAATACCGCCCATTTTTCTGAGCCCCATTGTTTCCTAAACCCTAGCCCTAAACCCTAAACACCAAGGCCTAAACCCTAAATTCAATACTATTATTGCTATTATTACTACTATTATTACCCTTATTACTATTACTACTGTTATTACTATCATTACTATTATTACTGTTCTTACCACTATGACTATTAAGCCCTAAACTCTAAGCCCAAGGGTCTGTTCCCGGATCTTGGCCAAGCCGAAGTCGCACAGCTTGGGCTGCCAGCTGCTGTTAAGCAGAACCTACCCAGTTAGGGTTGAAGGCTTTTTGTTGACGCGCCTTTTCTCCACTGCCGAAAAGCGCAAGTTGGTTGCAGTTCCAGGGTTTCGGGCTTTGGGTTGAGGGTTTAGGGTTCAGGGTGGCCAGGGGGACTTAGCAACTAGGTCAAGAATGGGGATACATATGTTTTTTGCTTTTTCCAGTGGTCAGTATACTTACTAGGCGCCCTGGCCCCCAAGTACCCAGAGCCGAACTTGCAAAGAATGATCCTTTGTGTACGTTATGGAAACTAGAGATTTTTGGGAGGTTCCACTTTTTGCATTTCAAGTCTTAGGGCCTGGGTAAGGCTGCCAGAAAACTGGGCACGCGGCGTGGAGCTCAATACGGGCCTTGTTGGGGTAATGACTATAATTGGATCCTAATACAGGGCCTACTGGGGGCCACCACAATCCTCCTACTTCTCTAGAAGACCGTAGCCCATGATAACGACGACCTGACACTACTCTCAAACTTCTACTGGTGCCATGGGGGCACCCAAGAACAGCAGCATCTTCATGCTTCACCCGTGCAAGCCCTCGACACATTAAATCCCGAAACCCTAGCCTGTAACCTCCAACCTCTTCAAAATACCAACTTGCTGGTGCTTAGTAGGGAATGATGGGATATAATCCCTAGATAATCCAGATGCAAACCCTATGCAGCCCCGATATAACCCCATATACTACATCCCTTATAAACCTACTAAACCCCAGTAAGCCAAGAGACATTTGGCGACTTGAGGTCCAGGTGCAGGATCTTCACATGATGCAGATACGCGACGCCACGCGCGATGCCCAGGGCTAGCACGTATGACCTCACGTGAGCTACCATCAATCAGAGAATTAAGGGTTCAGGGCTTAAGGTTATCTATTGGGCATGGGTTCCTTATTCGAGACTATATTCGGGGTTATACCTAACTACGAGAGTAACCCCAATGTCCACCCTTAATGGTCTATTCGTAACCCTAATACTGACAGTATACAGCTCACGTGCTCCAAACACAAGGTTGGAGAGTCCCGTTGGAGGGGGTAGATCCTACATGCGAGAGAGCCATGTCCATTGCAGCGTTCAAACTTTCAGATGCAAGCTGTTTAAGCCCTCAACAGAGAGGCATCAGGCAGGGTGAAAGGCGAACATGATATCCGCTTCTAAGCCACATGTGAGTTGTGGTGGCGACCCCGTCATGTGCGGCTTAAGCATCACGACAATCTCCCTTCCCTCGTTTGGAGTACACCCCAGAAAAAAGTATAGACTTTTTAGGTATGAGTTGTAATACTAAGAACCCCGGGACCAAAAAAGTATTGAAATGTAGTACTCCAATATTGGGTTCCAGTTCTTGAGCCTCAGATGTGCTCCTGCATCCTAGACAGCCTGCACAGTCCAAGGAGGCCGGAAAAAATGCGTGTGCTGATGCTCTAATCTTGCCGGCAAGCTCAGTCTATGTAGAACAGAGGGCTGCGACCCTTAAAGCCTGGACCCTATAAAATTTAAGCCCTAGGCCCCAAATGCCCCCTAAACCCTAAACCCTAAAACCCTAAAGCCCTAATTATTGTTCCCACTTGTGACTATGGCTTCTACATGGAGCTCGCTCAAGACAAGGCTGACTATTCGGGGCCTGCGGCTCTATGGATATACAAGTAGTACTGAGGGATCATGCTCCATGGGGAATTGTGGAGAAGCTCTTCAGAACACGAAATCCTAAGCCCTAAGCCTAGGTACGAAACCCCAACCCTAAAGCCCTAATTATTGTTCCCACTTGTGACTATGGCTTCTACATGGAGCTCGCTCAAGACAAGGCTGACTATTCGGGGCCTGCGGCCCTATGGATATACAAGTAGTACTGAGGGATTATGCTCCATGGGGAATTGTGGAGAAGCTCTTCAGAACACGAAATCCTAAGCCCTAAGCCTAGGTACGAAACCCCAACTGTTCAACTGAGAATCCTAAATCCTAAGCCCTAAATCCAAAACCCCAAACCCTGAATCCTAAATCCGAAGTCCTAAACCCTAAGCTACATGAACCCTAAACCCTAAAGCCTCTAGACTCTAGACCCCTAAGCCCTACACCTCTTAATGCCTACTAAGGCACTGCCCAGGGCTGAGACTGGGTTCCTGCGACTCATGGAGCAGCTGGGAGAGCACTCCCCTGTCCATCCACCTGAGGTTCAAGACTAGGGTTTTAGTTGTTTTTGAGGGGCTTAGGGGGGTTAGAGGGGCTTAGGGGGTTTTAGGGTTTTGGGGTTTAGGATTTTGGCCTTCGGGGTTTAGGGTTTGGTTAGGGTTGGATTTAAACCTTTCTCAAAATTCGCCTGTTGACCGCCCCAACAGAAGCCGATCCTTTTCGGGAAGCGCCTTCACCACTGTGACAACATTACTTGAAAAAAGTCTAGCCGCTCGGTGACCAGCAGGAGGGTCCTGTGGCCTCCGCGCAGGTCAACGCAGCCGCGCCAGAAACGCACAATGTTTGGATGCGAAAGGCGGGAAAGCAGGGAGATCTCAAGCACGAAGTCGCCTGGGAGGCTCTTGAGCATTACCGCAGGGGAAGTGAAAGGTCCTCAAAAGTACTTTCTATCGACATGCCCCCAAAGTTCCCCGCGAGATGACCCTACATGCATGGTGGTTACTCGCTACAATTCCTCATCGCAGACGTCACGTAAAGTGCCACGAAGTCACAGACATCGGCGTCTGTTGGACTGGCGTCACGGACTTCCTCTTACTGGTGGTTCGTAACTACTGAGCTGCTAAAAACCCCAAACCCCAAACCCTAAAAACCCTAAATCCTAAACCTAAAAACTTTAAAAATCCTAGACTGTAAATCTCAAGTAATGTTTGGAAAAAAAGCCTCCATAGTAGTCCCTGTCTCATCCTCAGGCATGATCCCTACATTTTATGTAGGGGCCTCCATAGATTAGGGGTCCCTTTTTAAGGATTTAAATACCTTGGGGTCTATATCCCAGTTCCCCTGGCTATGGGAACGACCATTTCTGCATTCCCTGAATTCTAAATATTCAACCCTATACCGCTAAACCTTAAACCCATTTCAGTAGTTTCCATGTTCTTTTCCAGGTCCATCATCCCTATATCATCCTCAATATTACCCTATTATCCCAAAATTGCCCTATAGTATCGCCCATTTTTTCCTAGCGTAAGCACCGGTAAGTCCTTGACCGCGGCCTGTTGGCCGGCCCAAGTGCCCTGGAAGACCTCGCCGAAGCCGCCACGGCCGGCGCGATCCCTGCGGTCGAATTCCACCTGCAACAGGACTATAGACGGGTTTCCGAAAAACAAGAAACTTTTTTGGAGGTCCCCCTCATCAGACTTACAGTGTATTTTGGGAGTAGAGAGTAGAAGAAGCCAATTTCTGGCAGGGGCTCAAGAATTTAGGGCCCACTTTGGATTCCTTACAACACAGATGTTCAAGCGGGACCTCCTTTTCCGAACACACCCACCTGCGGTTTCGTAATCCATTTCCATTGGTCCCTCTGGGCAGCCCTAAACAGAAAGACGAAAGGTTTGAAAGTAGAAGTGCCGATGCAAGCTACAGCCAAACCTTATGCTCTCAAGAAGCCTATTTTCTTGTCGACATAAGGTCTCACCGTTAGCTCGAAACATTGACGGCGGCTAGAACTGTCTGTGGATGCAACACGGCCATGACCTGGCGTGATCGCATCTGTAGAGGATACCTGCAAAAATGATAACCATAAGAACTAATATCGTCAGCAACAGATGCATATGTGAGTGATTTGCGTTAATCGGTCTAGATGTATACTTCTGTTGCGCAGGTCAGAATTGATGCGGATGACTGCCGGCGGCAGCAGAAACCAACATGCGTCATTCGGGCGCGTTCCATCCAAGTCAGGGTGTCTAGTTTGCCCAAAAGCAATGAAAGAAAAACATGCTGAAATAACAACAATTTCCAACCCAAATGTGCAATGAACGCCGCAACCCCAGCCGCAGCAGCAGCAGCAGCAGCGGCATGCTCTTAACTCTTAGCCTGTGGGTGGGGAGGGGCTTTGAGGCAAGGAGCTTGCAAGGCTGAAAGAGGCCTCTTGGGGGTTGGTCGACTGAATGCTCAAACGGGATCTGCACGTTTCTGGTAGAAAAAGAGTGCTTCATGTGCGACTTCAAGCAAGTGGCCTCAAAGCAAGTAAACCCAGGCCCACCTCCCAAGGCTCCACATGCCAGGAGGGGCGCAGCATACGCCTTGGAAAGGCTACACGACAGCTAAAACAATTGAAGCCTGGAATCCTCATTACCTGCGGTTTGACGGGCATACGTACTTAAATGGAAGCGGGGGTAGCTTCTTAGAAGCTGTAGGCAATCGGGGGTTGCAGGGCAGGACTGCCCTCACATAACACACTTTGTAAGGTCCGCAAAATTAGCCCTAAAAGACCTAAACCCTAAAACCCGAAAACCTAAAACCCCTAAATCCTGAACCCCGAAGCCTAAACCCCTAAATCCCTAAACCCCTAAATCCCTAAACCCTGCTAAAGAACCAAGGTTCCCTCCCAGATTCTGCTGCAAGGAGGGCGCTGCGCTCTCAGCCTTGCGCGAAGCCTTGGAAGACTGGGAGGGCGCTACCGCCTCCTCGCACTCCTGGCTGTTAGGGTTTAGGGTTTAGGGTTTAGGGTTAGGCTTCAAGTAATTTAGGGTTTAGTGTTTAAGATTTAGGGGGTGCAGTGTTTAGGGTTTCAGGGTTTTGAAAGGAGGGTTCGGGTTCAAATAAATAAAAATATTATGGCCCCCTCAAGGCAATTCTAGGGGTATGTAGAATGTAGGGCTTGGGGTTTAGGGATTGGGGGCCCACTGATGGAGAATCAAATGGAAAGGGAATGAAAAATGAAATGGAATGAAACTGGAATTTATACAGTGGGGGCCACTTGCTTTTTTAGATGAGCTGGGAATTAGCTAAATGGCTGGGAACTAGGGTTATGACGAGGTTATATGAACATCATCAGAATTGCCAACCCTGTAGCTAATTGCCA